TTTTTTAAGCATTATTCGATATTCGCGCGAAGGAAATAGGCCGAACAACTGACAGATTTTAGGGTAATTACCGTTCTTCTTCATCGACGAGGTCACGTAGTAGGGTGGCGGAGTGGTGGACGTCGTTGACGGTGCTGGTATTTCTGTGGACGTAAAGAGATTATTTCTGAGTTAGCACTGTGTTTGTAGACAAAGAGTTTTTATTGGTATTAATAAAAAGAAATTGATTCTGAATTAGCGTACGACTAATAAAAACTGCAGATCCTTGCGTAATCTAATATTTTTATAAAAATATAAAACGATCAAAGGAACGGAGCCTAAGTGGCGTACTCGATATTTTATATATTTTCGCATATTACGCATTGATACAATTTTCACATGTTGTACACGTATGTCATAAATATTCACAGTTTGATGATAATACTTTTTAGAACGAAGAGCCTTCAGTTAGAGAATGGAAATTAAATTATTCGAATTTATTCTTGCTTAATTGATATTTTCTGAACGTTCAAAGCATCTTCCTCCGTCGTATTTCAACATGTTTTAAACGCGGAGATAGAAAAGCGTAGTAAAAATGGTTCTACGAAAATTGCATCAACTGGATATTGAAGTTCTATCTCGTCCCGTGTATCCCTCTGATTTATCTCCGATCGATCTACAGTTTCCCGCGCGCGTGACAATTTTCTTACATGGAAACAATTCGAAAAACAAGAAAACGTCGGAAATACCTTTCCGTACTTTCTATCTGTCGAAAAAGCAATTCCGATTTTTACAAAATAAATACGCTAACGTTATAAAAAAACGTTCAACATCCACTTTCGTCATTTTGCAGTTCTCTCAAAATGACGAAAAGTTAATAAATCTACTATCGAAAGTAATTCCATCTTTTGTCCTTAAAGACAGAAGAAAGTGCTCGTGCAATTGTCCAACGATACAGTTAAACTTCCATGGGAATTGATCCTCCATGGGAAACGTGAAATATCAACGTTGACAAAATGGAGAAAAAAAAAAATTGAAAGCGAACTTCCAAGCACGTTCATTTCGCAGCGATCGAGCGTACAACATATATATATATATATATATTTCTCGTTAAACTTTTAATTTCAGCCAATTTATTCGTTCAAGGAGGTGGAAAGGTATACTCTCTCTCGCGGGATAAATATATCTTTCGTAAATTTAATCGCCAATTACGAGGCACGTTGAAACGATAAGGACGCTTGACCTCTTCAAACGATCGATAAGTATCGACTGTTAACGGCAAGAGTTTTTGTACGAAGTCCATCGGTGATCGATCAATTACTTTATTATTACAAGATTGTGTACGTATCTACACAAAAGAAACTCTTTTATTTTCAAATAATTCTGACTTTGATACACCTTCTGAATGAAACATTTCATGTTTTGACAATATTTCATATTTGAGAGTTTAATTTAATGGGTGAAATTTAGTTTTAGCTATTACTTTTATTATTAGAAGACACTTTTAACGTTAATTATTATAGATCTTTAACAGGACATTCCTTTCACAGTGAAACTAGATTTAAATTTTTCAAAATTTAGTCGCATCGATAGTACGAACATTGAAATTTAAAGGATTTAAAACTTTTGTTGACTGGATCTATATTTAATTTTTGTGCATCGAAATTAACAATATCTTAAATACATTATCATCTCCTAATTTTACGTATTACGACGAAAATGTAATTTATAATTTATAATTTATAATTTATAATTTATAATTTATAATTTATAATTTATAATTTATAATTTATAATTTATAATTTATAATTTTTCACATGTATGTTCGTAACAATACATACTCTACACCAATGTAATTTCATTTTACAGACGTAAAAGTGTAATTTTCATCGAATACGCTATTAGTTCATAAAATCGAATTTCTCGAATCGAAAAACATTCTACCGATACTACACACCACGGTGTTACACGTTGTTCCCTGGTCAAAGGTTGAAACGCTTTCAACTGGCCGGTACAAATCTGCAGCGAAAAATAAAAGACAGGCGGGTAGAATTTTTGAAAAAAACACTCACCGTCCAATTTGATGTCACCGTCAGTTCCACCGAGAGAATTTTGCGCCACGCATTTGTACGAGCCGAAGTCCCTCGGCCCGACGTTTCTAATCTTCAGCATCATGTACTTGTTGTAGCCGTTGTCGGTGGACACCGCCTCATATTTATCGCCTGCAATAGAATGGTAATTGCCTAGGCAAATAAAACCATGTCCTTTCCTAGGCTCAGACAATTTACGATGCGCGGGATGGCAAACAACCGAGGTAAAAATCAAACAAGCCGCGCTCGCGTGAATTTTTTGATATTCTCACAGTTTGAAACGTACTCGCGCGTGTTCAAACGTTCCCGTTGGAATCTATGGTTAAACAAACGTGCGTGTGTACACACGTTAATTGAAAAGCTAGAATGAGTTTTAACATTTCATTTTAATTCGGATTTCTAATTCAACGTGCGGAACTGTTTACACTCGTGCGTCTTGAAACGGACGAATTACTCTCATCATTCGGATCGCAATTCCAGGAATTCGAATTCATCGAGGCGAGAATTAAATCTATTCCGATTGAATTTTCAAATTACTTTATTTATTTCGATATCTTTCGATTATCAACGTTTTCACTCGCGAGTGTCAAGAGTTCAAGCGATTTTCACGCTGGATTTGTTCTTCAACGAAGAGAGAGAATAACATTGAGAATTGTGGAGAGGAAAACATTTATTTTTCCTTCTTCAACGCAATTACCGAATACGATACCGTCGCGTTAAAGAAGAAAAAAATTAACAAAACTATATGAAAAGTTCTTTCGCAGGAGCATTATGTGGCAAGGTATTCTCTCAACTTTATCGTGAAGAGTTTACGAGAACATATTTATGGCGTCGACATAACTTTTTTTTAAAGCTTCCACGCATAAAAGAGATTGCGGTATAATAAACATAACGCGGGATACAAAATCTCGAGGATGTTCCGTGAGAACAAGCAACGATACGATTTATGTAACATTCAACAATATTGGAAAATAAGCTCGAAACCATCGATGAAACTTCTAATTTCGATGACATTACGCGTTAATTAATTTTTCAAACAGAAATGAAATTCTGGACTTGCCACAACAGTAAACGACAGATAGCATTTATTAGAATATGCATTATAGTTCGCATTTACTCGATTAAATGTCCTTTTCAAAGTTTGTCCAATAAAGTAGAGAGTACAAAATTGACATAAATATAATTATATTAAAGTTAAAATTACCAGAGACGATCATATCACCACGTTCGGTTGTCCAATAATTAATCGAGGTCGGATAAGCTTCGGTGTGACATTCCAACATGACGTCTTGTCCAATATATGCCGCTTCCAGCTGGTTTGGTATCGAAAGCATAGGGGGAACTGTAACAATAAAAATATTATTAACGTGACACGATGAATTTTCTTCTTTGTTTCAATTTATTGAAATCTCTATCAATATTATTGTAATATTTTATTGCATTTTATTCTTTTTCACCTGCGCGCGAGGAGATGAAAATTAATATTTCCTCTGATAACACAAAGCTTTTTAATCATGAGAGTTACGTAGAGTGTTTGTTTTATAGAATTAAGTAACGTAAAAGAAAAAAAAATGTAATTCTATCTCAGTAACGTATTAATAAAATTCGTTTACTTAATAATCTGGCCAATAGATTCATAAGAATAATAATAATTAAAAGCAACGCTTTTAAACAAAGGATCACTTCTTTTTTTTTTTATTACAAAGATTATCAAAAAAATGTCAGAAGAAAGCAGTTCATTTGAGAACTATTACGCGATCGAAAGCGGCAGATGTTCGAAATAGCTTGAGTCAATTTTTGGAATTAGATGCGCTTTGAACTTTCCCAACCAAACTTTCTACGTTTTGTACTCCCGAAATTTAACTATTCGAGCTGCGTAATCTAGTGCACCAGAACTCTCCGTGTTTGCAACTCTGTAAATCCTAGGGAATCCACCAACTTATTACGAATTTCGATGAAACTTTTCGATTTGTTTAACATCGACGTAAACGATAGAACAGTTATGGATTCTACCAGCTAATAAATTCAATTCCTCGACAAAGTTATAACATTGACCCGAATATAACGAATACAAATAAAAAATCAACAAACAATATTACGAAGGATCAATGCAATTTTCATCCCTTTCCCTCGATCGGATTTTCTATATCCTACCTCTTGCACGAAGAAACGAATAAACAATATAAATATCGAACGAACGACGAAATAACACCGCAGAAAGAAACCAAAGTAAACCAAACGACCAACATTAACTTTCTCCCGACGCGTATAATTTTCCACTTAATCACTCTTGATTAAATCCTGTCCCTCTCAGCAAACGGTTAAGAACGAGCCGACATCTTTGTCGAAGATAATTCGCGGCCGTAAATTTCATAAAAAGCCTCTCGACCGGCCGAAAGCAAGCCGGTAACCGATCCCGGCTAAAGAACAGATGCTTACTTTCAACCGCGCTCTCGCGTCGACGAGTGAAATTTTTCCACGACGGACCAAACGCGACTCTCTCCTCCCTTCATTCAACTCGGCCGCCCTTTATACGCGGCAAAAGCGAAATGCCTCGAGAGCATCCGCGCCGGTTTCATAGACACGGCCTTTATACTCTTTAATTTTCTCCATTTTTCAGGCTCTATAAAGTTTCCGTACACTCGAAACTTGAACGCCGACGACGACGTCCGCGAGAACACCGAGACGTCGCTCGTCGTTCGTCGAGCAAGAACATTCCTGAGGAAAGTTTCTTTTCTATTTTTTTCCTTTTTTATTTCTTTTTTTTTCTTTCTTTTTCGGTGGTGGTTATCGTACGAAGCTTTGTCCGACGAACGATCGATATAGATGTATTCCGTGGCCGCAATATCACGACATAGTTGCGTCTTTTACGGGCCGACGTAAATCACGATTTACTACCAGCGTGTGCACGCCGATGCGACGATATCAACAGTGGATCGCGTCCCAACGTCCACTCTATATTCCTGCCTGTGACGTTTTTGTTGAGTTATCGGCCTGATATCGGCTGGCTATTAGCTGATCAACTTCATCGCGGAAAACTACGCAAGATTTTCGAACGATTGCTGACCCCGATCACCTGGATAAAATCTGTTGCGATTTTGTTGCGATTTTGTTCATCGGCGACGCGGACTATTGCAGATTTGTGTGATTTCGGCACGTTTGGAGAGTCAGAAAAGATTTAACACGACAACTAATCCAACATTTGGTCGATAAAACCGAATTTGACTAATAGAACCTTTTGTTTCTCTGAATAAGTAGATTCTGAATGCTTGTGTCGATGTGTCTACGAAAATGAAAAGAATATATATACTTCAAAGTCGTGTTTCTATATATTTCAAGAATATCTAGTATAAAACAACGATCGACGCTTCTTGAACGTGAAGAATTAACAAACAAGAATACAAAGTCCGAGGAATATAAAATATAACGAACGAATGAAAAGAGAAAGGTAATTGAAAGCCAAAGTGACTTTAATTCGGGACTCGTTTGTTGAACGGTCCCGCGAGCAATTCGCGAACCCTCCTGAAAAATTCCTCGCTCGAAGACGATAACTCAAATTTCGTCGAGCGAATTATTAATGCTTGTAGCTATTCGTGCGGTAGAACGGGAACTAATGTGTCGGAAAAGACAGGGCGGAAACGCGTTTCGCACCCCGAAACTGGATGAACGTGACGCTCGAGAGGGGATGAACGAACCTCGCTACATCGAGCATATCTGGGTCAAGTGGCCGCTCGTAAATCGCTGGCTAAATGAGACGTTGAAAACCGTCCTAATGCAACGACACTGCCTCCAACAGCCACTCTTTATCGAGATAGTACGACCAGAGTGCACACTGCATCCTCTGTCCGTCGTTCTTGACTCCGAGCGATTGTGCTTTCGTCTTTGTCCATTGGCAATGGTTTTCTTCCATTTCATTGCCCCGAGGATCGTAACTCTCTGAGATTCTAACATTAATCTAACATTATTTCGCTTAATCTCAGCGACGTTTTGCAAATTCATTTAATCCGAGAATTAGGGAATTACATATTGAAAGATTATAAAAATAAAATTATTTAACACGTTCACTGTGGATTCAAGTCAGATTCAATAGACATATCTAGATATATCTAAAAAGTACGATTGCAAAAGAATCAAAAGCTTGAGAGGCTCTGGAATTTAAAAGATTTTATCTTTTACCAAGAATAAATTGTACCTCGACAGTATTCGGTATACGAGTAATTAAAATTATTTCCAATTAAAATCTGTTTAATCACGCGTTGAACCTATCTGCAAAATACAACCCGCGTTTTTCATTTTTAATATACCGAGAACTTCAAACACGCCGGCGATGGAAATTTTGTGAAAAGCTTCGTTTCGAAAGAGAAGCGTTTCCGCGTGGTTGCAGTTAGTATAACGCGTTTATAAAATTTAACGATGCAGTTTAGGATCAATGTGCATATAAAGCACTCCAATAAACACGTACAAGCAGGGTGCTGTTCGAGCGGATACGTGAGGAAATATTTCAGTATACTCACACTGCACACGAAGAGATATGCGTTGGCTAACTCGCGGTGGAACGTCGTTCGAAGCGATGCACAAATATGCTCCCATGTGCAATCGACTTATCTTCACAATATGCAGCACCTCGCCGTTCACAACGTTCACTACAATGCAAAATGAAACGATGCTTCATTAGTATTTTCAGTACGTACATAAATCGTTCAGTTAATTCTCCTCGAAACGGAGATTCACCGAAAGATTTTAATCAACTCTCTTTGAGGATGAAAAATTCTTTCGTAAATATTCTTTCATAAAATTTATAAAAATTTATAAATAAAATCTCTATTGTAAAATCTACTAATCTTTGATATATGTATTTAAACAAAATGGTGTAATTAAATTTTTTTTATTATATATTTACGTTTTCTTTTTAATTATATATCTTCCTTTCTATTTTGACTTTTCCTTTTGACAAAAGCTTTGTTTCAATCATTGGCGATTTTAATATTGGATTGGCCATCACTGACGTGATTCAATAAATAATTAAACAATCAGAACTCAGTGTAATATAAAAAAAAATTTATTACTTAAATAAATTACGTTACGTATTCTCGATCATTAATTGTGTACTTCTGCAACGAAATTGATGAACTGATCAGCTTGGTGCTCGTGAAAGACTCGTTTATAATAAAAATGTGAGTGGTTCTCGTAATTAACAAGACAATTAATCTTTTTTCAACGTGATTTTCGAAGATGCGCGTTTCGCAATTAATTTTCACTTAACCGTGGAATATTGGATGGACAAGTTTCCTCGGAGTCGAATCGTTGAAAATTCAAACGTAACCGTATTTACGGAGAAATCGAAGTTTTCAAGCAGAAAGTTCGGACGAAAAGTTCGGAAGGAACGACCTACTTCGACGATACCAAATTTATAAGTGCAGAAGACATCGAAAAATCTCCAGTTACCTAAAGTGCTCCATTTCGGATACTTCTCGTTTAGGATATTTTTATTTTAATTCAGCTCTGTGCCAAATATTTGATAAAAACGAAATGTAGCTAAATAAATTTCTGTTGTAATGTTAGTTCGTGGAATAAAGATTTCAAAATCGTGAAAAAGATTTTTTTTTTTAATAAATCGAAAAAAGAAACTGTTTACTAATTCCAATATAAATTTATAACAATTTTGGACAAGTTTATGTTCATAAATTCGCGTTTCAACTCAAATCAGTGAAATTAATATCTTACGAGCGAAATTCGTGTCTTGATTGAACGTTTTGAACGTTTCACGACTTTCTAGTTATACTACATTAAGACTGTTTTTTTAAAACTAAAGTTCATTCACTGCAACTTTCTTTTTACAGTATTAAATCCCCTTTTAAATTTCTACTATTCAGAGACGTAATCTATTCCATCGCCATTATCCATTGTCGCTTATTAGCGTGTAAGAGGTTTTCCGTGAAACTTAATCTAGCAACTTTTTATAATACGTCGGTAACAATGCAACAATGCGAGCGTCGTCCATTCAAGATTGGAAGTTTGGACTCTCTAATGCGTCTATAAGCCAACGGGCTCATTAATATCTGTCATAGAAAGTAATTATTTATTCCATCCTAGCGTTCGCCGCTTCCATTCCCGCCGGCTATACACCGGCATATAATTAAATTACGTTAAACGATTTATCATTCCGGCCAGTCGCACAAACCTGCAAAACTTCTGCGTTCCACATTTTCCTGCAACTTTTACCATATTTTGCGGCTGTGCTCGGTCATCCGTTCTAACGAATTATGCACGCGACGAAACGAGATCCTGCGCACCACGTAAGGGAACATACTGCACCATTTTCGGTTTTACTCCACTCTTATAATACTCTATCCGAGATGGAAGATTCGAGATAAAATCAATCGAATTCCCAGCAGGGGAACTTCGACTTGACAACACGCTGCGGTGTGCGAAAAGTTTCTGGCCAAGTAAATTCGTAGAATTTCAATTGATTTTGGATACAAGAACACGGGAACAAACGACTGTTCTTTAATCTGCTTGATAATCAAATGTGTATTTGTTCTCTGTATCTTTGATAAAAATAGACTATTATATTTATTATATTTTAATGTATTATATTATATTATGTTATATTATATTATATTGTATTATATTTGATATAAATATATTTTGATTAAAGTTAGAATATTCAAAATAGAAATTTGAAATCTTCTGAAACTTTTATTTCAAGAACGAGGTCCAGATTCCTTTCCTACGTTTTCAAAAATATCTTAATATTTGAGAAAAAAGTAGATTCAAATTTAAGTTTAAATGTTTGTTTGACTCAAAAGGAGGACTCGCGAAAAAGAGAAAGCAAAGTAACAAAAAAAAAAAAAAAAAAAAAAAAAAAAAAAAAAGAAGAATAAAGAACGATCAACTACCAAAGTATCCCTATCCTCCTTCAGAAATAAGTATGAACACTGCCGTTCACGTAACGCTGTAGAATTTAATGAAACGCAGCCTGTTCGCGTAAATACGCGGGCATAATGCTCGCGAGAAGCGTAAAAGCGGACGACTGTTGCCACGTTGCGTTTCAATAAGAGGTGCGATAATAAAAACGGCGTGGCCTGCAGATCGCAATTTTTACACGTGAAATTATCGTGCAACGTTCCTAGAATTCTCTCTCGCCGGTGCCGGAGACAGAGGGTGTATTGTAATAGGTTCTACAACGGGGGAGAGAGAGAGAGAGAGGTTTTAAAACCGATCGCGGGTAAATGTTGAAGAGCGATGGGAAACCAATTGAACGTTTTTCACGATAAAGGTAAAAGCGCATTGTATCAAGGGGAAGGAGGGAAGAATTGTTGCTACAATTCCCGGACAGTAATGTACAGGTAATGGGACGCTGTAAGAACGTGGGGGATTCCTCCGGTCGAATAATACCCTTCGATGTATCACGATCTTTGTTACGGCTCATGCACTTCCAGATAGATTGCTTTCCTGCCTTTCATTTGGCTCCGTGGTCTTCAGCGGGATAATTTCTCTCGCTCCTCTCTCACTTTTTTTCTTCTTTTCACGCGCACGTGCTCGTACATCACTGCTCGGCGATCGTCAATAACGCGTGAACGTTTGATTTCTCGCTCGAATGGCAGAGTTTGTAATTTTTCTCCGAAAAATGTTCTTCTCACTGGAGAAGGGTGTGAATAACATTATCGTTTGTAAAATTAGCCTTTTGACATGATCAAATTTAATACTGTACGTCTAACGTGGATTGAAATTAATTACTACTTCGACGAAACTATTTAATTAGAATATATATATATATATATATATATATATATATATATATATATATATATATGTATATATATATATATAATGTTTTTTATAAAATATTTGTATTANAAAATATTTATTTAGAATATATATATATATATATATATATATATATATATATATATATATATTCATATGTATGTATATATTGATAATGTTTTTCATAAACTATTTGTATTACAGGAACCGTTCAAAACTCACCGCAAGTCGAATAACACTCAAAGAGAGAGTAATGATGTTACATATAGTAAGTTATAAATTTATCTTGCAACCTGCAATTATATACATTTATCTGATTCGTAATAAATGAACTCACTTTTTTGACAATTAAATACGAATTATTTGTATTTGCACGATGAAGTTGAGAGATTTATAAAATATATAATTGATCAGTTCAGCTTCTCAGGAGTTCGACGTTGAATTTGATACGAACAATTCCGAACGCGAATCTAAAGATCCGCCCAAACGTTTGCGACGTTTCACACTCTTACTTTTACTCGCCACAATTGCAACCCGCCCACTGCAGTCTCATCGTTAAATTTAATACACTCGTACAACCATCCGAGTACGTCGCGTAATAACAAAGTCACGTTATTACCATTCGTGCCAGTATTTTCTTATCGCGCAGGTAACGTACTAACGCGTTCCTCTTCCGCAGTACGAATGCCGCAATACACACGTTGCCAAAACCCGCGAACAGAAGAAAACGCGGCCGGTTGCTCGTGCTAACGCGCGAGAACGTATCCTCAATTGTACCTTGGCTTATCTCGCGTGACTGGGAACTCTTATCATCGCGAGGAGGAAATATCGCGGCCAGTGAAGGTCGCTGAAAGGAAGGAGAGCTGTTTGCCAGTGGGGCATGGCAGCGAACGCGCAGAGCGCAAAGAGGACGGTGTGAATCGTTGTTGGCCGGACCATGGCACACGCCAAACCTATCCATTGTTCCATAAACAATGCCTAGGTGAAACCACCGAGAGAGATTCCAACCGAGAGGCCTTGCCACATCCGGGAGTTATAATTAAGTAGTCCCCTGGAGCCTGGAACTATCCTGTTTACCGGGAATCCTTTAAAACTTTCGACTTAACGGGAAACCACAATATGCCGGTGCCGATGGTTCGATGAAATTTCATCTGGAATTACGCTCCATCCGAATCTGTATTTCCTGAATAATACGTACATTGAGTATATCGTAGCTGTTTAATCATTAACAATCTTTGTATTTAATAAAATAACATGGTGCTTTAATAGATGTTGAATAGATCGTAATATTTTTTCTTGCTCTTCCTTTTATCATAGATTATTTTATAAGATGGTTTTATAAGCTGATATTTTGTAGAATGTTGTATGAATAGATATATTACAAATATAATGTTGTATGAATAGGTATACTTATTTTACAATGTTGTATGAATAGATATACTTATTAAAAAAAATAATAATAATAAAAGTACAAAAGTCAGTTTCAGACTGCACAGAAGAGTACGTGTGGTAAAATAAAATTGACGACTGAAACTTGCAACATTCAATTTTTCTATATAACCTACTTTCTTAGTAATTTCATTTAATAAACAAAATTTTTGCAACGAGACATCCTGTTACTTCCACACGTGTAACATTGCGAGAATAAAATTCAACATTCATGCGAAATTATCGAATTATATAAAGTAAAGGTTTAATTATCAATTTTGGTTCTTAATCCTTACACGAAGATAAAAATTTTACTTTTCACTTGCTACTTCGTTCTCTTTGTAGACTGTGCTTCATGCATTATCATGCAATTATAAAGTTGCTTGATGTATTTTCTTGCACTACTTTCATTAAAAGAGAATACAAGAGCAAACTCGTGCGCGTA